AATCCTACGTAGGAGGATAGGCGTGAGCGAAATTACCACGCAGAGGCCAGGCGCACAATACAGGAATTTGTGCGCAACGGTCCTGCGATCCAGATCGCAGTACTTCAATGAAACTCAAAGCTAGAGCTAGTATGGTGCTAGATGAGAAACAACCGTACAAAGTAATGGTTGTGATGGTGGCGGACGCGAGTTTGACCCAGCCCGCCACTCCCTGGATGTGGAGGTAGGATACTAGAGGTTGCTGACTCGACCCAGGCCGGGTATGGAGTCAGGCGACTCTAGTGTCCTACTGAACAGTTGTGACAGCCAACTACTGGTTGGCGGCAACCACTGGCTCCTGGCAGGAGCCTCCAACCTGGTTGCTGGCTCTGACACTGATAAGTACCGAATTAGGTCAGAGCGCGGTCACATACTGTTCACACTCCCAACCTCTGCATCATGGGAATTTCGCCCCTGCCGAAGTCCCACTCTTCTTCGGTCAAGCACCGCCACTCCAGTCGCGACTGCCCTTTATCAGCAACGTCCCAGACGACCAATACTCTCGTATCTCGATGATGCACAATCGTACACCAGTGGTACTCCTTCGATCCATCGACATGGGACAATAGAAATCGCATACGTGCGCCCACCAATGTCGGACCGCACCCGCCTTCCTCACCGGAGAAGTCGATCGAATCTCCATCAGGAATTCCGCGAATCTTCAACGGGAGTAGGTTATAGTGAGACTCCGTCGTCACTCTCTCAACAGGTCGATCGGTATGGGTCTTCGTCCACAGCACACAGTATCGCCTGTCACTGATCGGCCTCACCACCCATCCACATCGCCACTGCGGCTTATCCTTGGAACGCGGAGCGAAGATCATAACAGCATCACCTGCGAGGAATCCGCCACCTGTCCGACCGAACCGACGATCCTCCATCCGAATCTGACGCCGCTGCGATGGCCAGTAGATCGACATGAAGGACCGCATGAAGAACAGCCGCCGCTCGCCGAGTGAGTCACATGAGAAGCCCTGCTCGACGCAACTGCCGCTCTCACGAGTGTAGCCATAGCGGAGATGATTTGGGGTTAGCACTCCCAACCGGCCATCACTGGTGATATCCGCCTGTGTGAGTGGTCTTCTGTTCAATATCCAACACACCTCGTCAGCGAAATCCTGCTTAGTAGTGCTCGTCCAAGCCCCATGGGCCCGGAATCGTCTCTGCAACAGCACCTTCGACACCTTCAGAGCCATCCTATGGTGAGTCTCCACCCCTGTTGACCATGGGGCGCGTGGATCTGCAGCCATCACCGTGATTCCAAGCGACCTCACCGCCTCCGCATACGGCCTTGTTGCCACTGCGCCATCGGCTAACAGGTGCCGAAATCCGCCTTCTCTTTTCTGCGCTCGAGCCGTAGCTTCCGCCAAGCTGCCACTATCAGCTCCTTCGATCACAATCCAGAGACAGTGTCGAGTCAGCACACAGAAGAAGGACATGAATACCAGATCATGGCTCACCTTGATAACATCAGCGGCTACAGCGTAGTAGGGAGGACGGTTCTTCAACATCATCTTATCCAGCCTGAGCTCCGGATCTTGCGATCCCGGCCCTGCCACCCCCTGGGTTGGCTCCATAGCCGCCGAGCCGACAACAACTGGCATATCACGCAACAGCCGATACAGTCTATGAGGCAAAACCCCGCTAACGCTGTTATGGTCACCGGTCACGCTCGGGGTCATGTCTGCATGTGGACTCCTAACATCAAGGAGCCAGCCTTGAAAATGCTGGCTCCCTTTGGGCAGGTAAAGGCTTTGATGTAGCGACTGGGGGTCTCCTTCTACCACTCATAATCGCAGGTCACTGCTCTGGATGTTACAAGTGACGGAAAGTATCTCGTCACATGTGGTTCTGACAGCAAGTGGAAAGTGTAAGCGTTGACAACCTTAGCGCCTGCCGTTGTGTCATTCCCCCGACAGTGAGAATCAGGTACGATCTACGGAAGCCGTCTGAAGAGCTACAGCGTTGCAGCTTTTCGGGTCGAGCACCCACATCTATGGACATCTCGTTCGGCGACGCTGACCTTGCTTTCGGCTTCGGCTCTAGCGTCTCGGTCTTCAGAGGATCAGACGTGTTTCGGAGTGGAAAGGCGCCCAGCACTTACTTGAAGAATAGTTACAACGGTCAGCAAGTACGTCGCGTTATGGCCGGTGCTAGGTGTTCGCGTAAGTATATCTGCTCAGGTTTCGAGTGTCCGATTCGTCCCCTACGAGGATCTTCTTCTTGTCGGCACGAGTGCTGGGTTCAACTCGATGCTCGTGCCGGGAGCTGGTTACACGCAGTTCGACTCTTATGTGGCCAATCCCTACGAGACTACGAAGCAGCGGCGGGAGACTCAGGTGCGTAGCTTGTTGGAGAAGCTACAGCCCGACATGATCGCTCTCGATGCCAACTTCATTGGCCGAGTGCAAGCTCCGAAGAAGAAGGTCACCAAGCCGCTATCGGATAGTGAAGAGAGTGAGGCGGAGGAGGAGTCCTTCGCTGCTAAGCATAAGATGCGAGGAAAGTCAAAGGCTGGGAAGCGTCAGCAGAGGATGAACAAGATGCGGGGCGAAGCGGAGCGCAAGAGGCGAAGCAGGAGAGCTGGTGAGAGCAAGGTGGATGTGGAAGAGAAAAGTCTCGAGTCGGCCAGGGCAGAGCACGGCGCACTAGCCCGGTTTTACGTAAATAAGAGTGACTAGTTCTTCGCAAGAACTGCCACCGTAACACGTTTCGTTCCTCCTTTCCGAGCTTTGAGTTGAGTCGTTAGTTAGATTTCTGCATTACTGCGAGTTTGTGGGCGTGCATTCTTATTAGGCAAAACACCAGTATACGAGTGTATACTGGTGCATACACTTTAAAGTGTGGGATTTATTGATATATAAATCAACCGTTTCAGCGACCGTTTCAACGCTATATGGCGCGCGGCGTTAATTTGGCGCGGCCGAAGGTCGTATGCCCTATAGCAGCGGACTTGCCTAAGAAACTTGCATACTTCGGACGCCCAACTTGAACGTCGCGCGTTCTATAGCGCTGAGCCGGTCGATGAAAAGGTTGATCTATATATCACTAAATTCCACACTTCAAAATGTGTAGACCACTCAACTTTCAAATCCAAACGGTCTTTATGAACGAATAAAACTTCGTTTTCCGGAGTTGCCTGAGAAAAATGGACGCTACTTACGTGACAGACCTCGGAGTACAGCGAACGGCTCATTTCGATGATTCACTGATAGGATGCAGCGCTTCCACACCGTCTGCTGGGACTTCCTTCATGTGAACTTCACATTGAGAACAAGTTGAAAGGCAACGGCTTCTACGAAGTATCCCCTATCTGGGACTCAATTTTTTATGATTTGTGAATCTAGCTGAAGAAAAATATTCACGGATAGCGGCACCTCATGTGACTCGGCTCATACTTGCAAAAAGAACCGACGTGATAGTGCTCGCAATTCTCCAAATGCACCAATACGTCGCTTTTGAAGCTTATTTTGCCGTGGGCAACACGTTGTTGCCGATCCCCTGCTCAGAACTCTTCTCACTTCCTCACCCTCATCGGGCACCAGTTATTGATAGAGCGGGAAAAGCACTGGTTTTCAATGTAGCATTAAGAGCTTACGAACCCCGTGGAGGGCATCCAAGTACTTCGTGCGAATAAAGGGTGTTTGAAAACCTCGTGAGCACTTTTGAGTACACTGAACTCCTGTCCTTGGACGTTTTCGTCATTGGGAGGTAAGGAATCAATCATTCGTCAAGTAATTAATCTATTGATCAGCAATTGATATAAAAACCAAAATAATGACTTTTTTATACATCACCTGATCGATTGCTCAATGGATCGAGGCCGATGAGCCATGAGTCATTAGACCAGCATCGAAAGTTGCGCCGAATCTCCCATGAAAAACAAGAAACTCCACTGAGTAGTGAGGCCAGCAATGATCGGTGTCACGAAGGGGCTAGGGCCGACGCGGACACTTTCACGACCCCCTACAACTATTCACCTCCTCCCCCGCACAATGTTGATTCCTGCTGTGAGTGCGTTTTTCGTGGGTGGTAGGTAGCGTCGTACGAGGGATTGAGAGTAGATAAATTACCAGCAGCCGTTCGAAGCCTGCCTGCGTTGTACGATATAGATAGTAGCGGGTAGATACATGGGAGGTCGAGTGGCCGCGGCTCGTGAACTTTGGCCAAGGCAGTTTCTGAATAGTATAGCGAGTAACGCCTTTTTCAGTCAGAAAGCTCCAATGAGTTGAGCAGCTGGTGCTACCATGATGTGTTTGAGACACTTTGGCCGAGTGGTTAAGGCGGCGGCCTGCTAAGCCGTTGAGCTACGCCCGCAAGGGTTCGAATCCCTCAGGTGTCGTCATCGTTTCGAGGGGTATCGCTATGTCGGCCAGAGCTGAAAGCCTACCCGATGCAGGATTCGAACCTACGACCAATTGCTCCGTAGGCAGACATTCTATCCAGCTGAACTAATCGGGCATCCAGGAGCAGTTCGTGAACCTCCTCGATTGCCGGGACGTTTTCGTCATTGGGAGGCGAGAAATCAATCACTCGTTAACTGGTTGATTGATTTGTTGATCCGCAATTGATATAAAAATAAAAAAAGTTTTTTTACATCACCTGATCGATTGACCAATTGACCATTCACCTCCTACCCCGCACAATGTTGATTCCTGCTGTAAGTGCGTTTTTCGTGGGTGGTAGGTAGCGTCGTACGAGGGATTGGGAGTAGATAAATTACCAGCAGCCGTTCGAAGCCTGCCTGCGTTGTACGATATAGATAGTAGCGGTAGATACATGGGAGGTCGAGTGGCCGCGGCTCCCGTGAACTTTGGCCAAGGCAGTTTTGAATAGTATAGCGAGTAACGCATTTTTTCAGTCAGAAAGCTCCAATGAGTTGAGCAGCTGGTGCTATCATAATGTGTTTGTGACACTTTGGCAGAGTGGTTAAGGCGGCGGCCTGCTATGCCGTTTGGCTACGCCCGCGAGAGTTCGAGTCCCTCAGGTGTCGTCCTCGTACCATCTGCTCCGTAGGCAGACATTCTATCCAGCTGAACTAATCGGGCATCCAGGAGCAGTTCGTGAACCTCCTCGATTGCCGGGACGTTTTCGTCATTGGGAGTCGAGAAATCAATCACTCGTTAACTGGTTGATTGATTTGTTGATCCGCAATTGATATAAAAACCAAAAAAAGTTTTTTTACATCACCTGATCGATTGACCAATTGACCATTCACTTCCTACCCCGCACAATGTTGATTCCTGCTGTAAGTGCGTTTTTCGTGGGTGGTAGGTAGCGTCGTACGAGGGATTGGGAGTAGATAAATTACCAGCAGCCGTTCGAAGCCTGCCTGCGTTGTACGATATAGATAGTAGCGGGTAGATACATGGGAGGTCGAGTGGCCGCGGCTCTCGTTAACTTTGGCCAAGGCAGTTTCTGAATAGTATAGCGAGTAACGCCTTTTTCAGTCAGAAAGCTCCAATGAGTTGAGCAACTTGTGCTACCATATTGTGTTTGAGACACTTTGGCCGAGTGGTTAAGGCGGCGGCCTGCTAAGCCGTTGGGCTATGCCCGCGAGGGTTCGAATCCCCCAGGTGTCGTCATCGTTTCGAGGGGTATCGCATTGTCGGCCAGAGCTGAAAGCCTACCCGATGCAGGATTCGAACCTACGACCATCTGCTCCGTAGGCAGACATTCTATCAAGCTGAACTAATCGGGCATCCAGGAGCAGTTCGTGAACCTCCTCGATTGCCGGGACGTTTTCGTCATTGGGAGGCGAGAAATCAATCACTCGTTAACTGGTTGATTGATTTGTTGATCCGCAATTGATATAAAAACCAAAAAAAGTTTTTTTACATCACCTGATCGATTGACCAATTGACCATTCACCTCCTACCCCGCACAATGGTGATTCCTGCTGTAAGTGCGTTTTTCGTGGGTGGTATGTAGCGTCGTACGAGGGATGGGGAGTAGATAAATTACCAGCAGCCGTTCGAAGCCTGCCTGCGTTGTACGATATAGATAGTAGCGGGTAGATACATGGGAGGTCGAGTGGCCGCGGCTCTCGTTAACTTTGGCCAAGGCAGTTTCTGAATAGTATAGCGAGTAACGCCTTTTTCAGTCAGAAAGCTCCAATGAGTTGAGCAGCTGGTGCTATCATAATGTGTTTGAGACACTTTGGCCGAGTGGTTAAGGCGGCGGCGGCCTGCTAAGCCGTTGGGCTATGCCAGCGAGGGTTCGAATCCCTCAGGTGTCGTCATCGTTTCGAGGGGTATCGCTATGTCGGCCAGAGCTGAAAGCCTACCCGATGCAGGATTCGAACCTACGATCTTCTGCTCCGTAGGCAGACATTCTATCCAGCTGAACTAATCGGGCATCCAGGAGCAGTTCGTGAACCTCCTCGATTGCCGGGACGTTTTCGTCATTGAGAGGCGAGAAATCAATCACTCGTTAACTGGTTGATTGATTTGTTGATCCGCAATTGATATAAAAACCAAAAAAAGTTTTTTACATCACCTGATCGATTGACCAATTGACCATTCACCTCCTACCCCGCACAATGTTGATTCCTGCTGTAAGTGCGTTTTTCGTGGGTGGTAGGTAGCGCCGTACGAGGGATTGGGAGTAGATAAATTACCAGCAGCCGTTCGAAGCCTGCCTGCGTTGTACGATATAGATAGTAGCGGGTAGATTCACGGGAGGTCGAGTGGCCGCGGCTCTCGTTAACTTTGGCCAAGGCAGTTTCTGAATAGTATAGCGAGTAACGCCTTTTTCAGTCAGAAAGCTCCAATGAATTGAGCAGCTGGTGCTACCATAATGTGTTTGAGACACTTTGGCCGAGTGTTTAAGGCGGCGGCCTGCTAAGCCTTAAACACTCTGCCCGCGAGGGTTCGAATCCCTCAGGTGTCGTCATCGTTTCGAGGGGTATCGCTATGTCGGGTAAAGCTGAAAGCCTACCCGATGCAGGATTCGAACCTACGACCATCTGCTCCGTAGGCAGACATTCTATCCAGCTGAACTAATCGGGCATCCAGGAGCAGTTCGTGAACCTCCTCCATTGCCGGGACGTTTTCGTCATTGGGAGTCGTGAAATCAATCACTCGTTGACTGGTTAATTGATTTATTCATCCGCAATTGATATAAAAACCAAAAAAAGTTTTTTTACATCACCTGATCGATTGACCAATTGACCATTCACCTCCTACCCCGCACAATGTTGATTCCTGCTGTAAGTGCGTTTTTCGTGGGTGGTAGGTAGCGTCGTACGAGGGATTGGGAGTAGATAAATTACCAGCAGCCGTTCGAAGCCTGTCTGCGTTGTACGATATAGATAGTAGCGGGTAGATACATGGGAGGTCGAGTGGCCGCGGCTCTCGTTAACTTTGGCCAAGGCAGTTTCTGAATAGTATAGCGAGTAACGCCTTTTTCAGTCAGAAAGCTCCAATGAGTTGAGCAGCTGGTGCTACCATGATGTGTTTGAGACACTTTGGCCGAGTGGTTAAGGCGGCGGTCTGCTAAGCCGTTGGGCTATGCCCGCGAGGGTTCGAATCCCCCAGGTGTCGTCATCGTTTCGAGGGGTATCGCAATGTCGGCCAGAGCTGAAAGCCTACCCGATGCAGGATTCGAACCTACGACCATCTGCTCCGTAGGCAGACATTCTATCCAGCTGAACTAATCGGCCATCCAGGAGCAGTTCGTGAGCCTCCTCGATTGCCGGGACGTTTTCGTCATTAGGAGGCGAGAAATCAATCACTCGTTGACTGGTTAATTGATTTGTTGATCCGCAATTGATATAAAAACCAAAAAAAGTTTTTTTACATCACCTGATCGATTGACCAATTGACCATTCACCTCCTACCCCGCACAATGTTGATTCCTCCTGTAAGTGCGTTTTTCGTGGGTGGTAGGTAGCGTCGTACGAGGGATTGGGAGTAGATAAATTACCAGCAACCGTTCGAAGCCTGCCTGCGTCGTACGATATAGATAGTAGCGGGAAGATACATGGGAGGTCGAGTGGCCGCGGCTCTCGTTAACTTTGGCCAAGGCAGTTTCTGAATAGTATAGCGAGTAACGCCTTTTTCAGTCAGAAAGCTCCAATGAGTTGAGCAGCTGGTGCTACCATGATGTGTTTGAGACACTTTGGCCGAGTGGTTAAGGCGGCGGCCTGCTAAGCCGTTGGGCTATGCCCGCGAGGGTTCGAATCCCTCAGGTGTCGTCATCGTTTCGAGGGGTATCGCTATGTCGGCCAGAGCTGAAAGCCTACCCGATGCATGATTCGAACCTACGACCATCTGCTCCGTAGGCAGACATTCTATCAAGCTGAACTAATCGGGCATCCAGGGGCAGTTCGTGAACCTCCTCGATTGCCGGGACGTTTTCGTCATTGGGAGGCGAGAAATCAATCACTCGTTAACTGGTTGATTGATTTGTTGATCCGCAATTGATATAAAAACCAAAAAAAGTTTTTTTACATCACCTGATCGATTAACCAATTGACCATTCACCTCCTACCCCGCACAATGGTGATTCCTGCTGTAAGTGCGTTTTTCGTGGGTGGTAGGTAGCGTCGTACGAGGGATGGGGAGTAGATAAATTACCAGCAGCCGTTCGAAGCCTGCCTGCGTTGTACGATATAGATAGTAGCGGGTAGATACATGGGAGGTCGAGTGGCCGCGGCTCTCGTTAACTTTGGCCATGGCAGTTTCTGAATAGTATAGCGAGTAACGCCTTTTTCAGTCAGAAAGCTCCAATGAGTTGAGCAGCTGGTGCTACCATAATGCGTTTGAGATACTTTGGCCGAGTGGTTAAGGCGGCGGCCTGCTAAGCCGTTGGGCTATGCCCGCGAGGGTTCGAATCCCTCAGGTGTCGTCATCGTTTCGAGGGGTATCGCTATGTCGGCCAGAGCTGAAAGCCTACCCGATGCAGGATTCGAACCTACGACCATCTGCTCCGTAGGCAGACATTCTATCCAGCTGAACTAATCGGGCATCCAGGAGCAGTTCGTGAACCTCCTCGATTGCCGGGACGTTTTCGTCATTGGGAGGCGAGAAATCAATCACTCGTTAACTGGTTGATTGATTTGTTGATCCGCAATTGATATAAAAACCAAAAAAAGTTTTTTTACATCACCTGATCGATTGACCAATTGACCATTCACCTCCTACCCCGCACAATGTTGATTCCTGCTGTAAGTGCGTTTTTCGTGGGTGGTAGGTAGCGTCGTACGAGGGATGGGGAGTAGATAAATTACCAGCAGCCGTTCGAAGCCTGCCTGCGTTGTACGATATAGATAGTAGCGGGTAGATACATGGGAGGTCGAGTGGCCGCGGCTCTCGTTAACTTTGGCCATGGCAGTGTCTGAATAGTATAGCGAGTAACGCCTTTTTCAGTCAGAAAGCTCAAATGAGTTGAGCAGCTGGTGCTACCATAATGCGTTTGAGATACTTTGGCCGAGTGGTTAAGGCGGCGGCCTGCTAAGCCGTTGGGCTATGCCCGCGAGGGTTCGAATCCCTCAGGTGTCGTCATCGCTTCGAGGGGTATCGCTATGTCGGCCAGAGCTGAAAGCCTACCCGATGCAGGATTCGAACCTACGACCATCTGGTCCGTAGGCAGACATTCTATCAAGCTGAACTAATCGGGCATCCAGGAGCAGTTCGTGAACCTCCTCGATTGCCGGGACGTTTTCGTCATTGGGAGGCGAGAAATCAATCACTCGTTAACTGGTTGATTAATTTGTTGATCCGCAATTGATATAAAAACCAAAAAAAGTTTTTTTACATCACCTGATCGATTGACCAATTGACCATTCACCCCCTACCCCGCACAATGGTGATTCCTGCTGTAAGTGCGTTTTTCGTGGGTGGTAGGTAGCGTCGTACGAGGGATGGGGAGTAGATAAATTACCAGCAGCTGTTCGAAGCCTGCCTGCGTTGTACGATATAGATAGTAGCGGGTAGATACATGGGAGGTCGAGTGGCCGCGGCTCTCGTTAACTTTGGCCAAGGCAGTTTCTGAATAGTATAGCGAGTAACGCCTTTTTCAGTCAGAAAGCTCCAATGAGTTGAGC